TGAAATCTCTTTTCCAAGGGAGACAGCACATCAGTTAAAGTTTCAATAGAAATAAAACACAATGGACAGGGAATGGACAATGAATAGGGAATTCTTAGTCATATGGACTTTTTACTTGGCTTCACATTCTTCCACGGAGACTAGATATTCTGCAATTATTCCAAGGAGAAAGTTTTTCCCCAGCTCTGTAAAAAACCTTTAGAACCTGGTATGGAAGCCACCTGGAACAAAGCTGCTGAAGACTGCTGGAGATCTGCGTCAGGGGATTAAACAAATATACAAAGAAAGTCTGTATACTTAGTGTGTGTGTGTGTGTGACTGGTGGCACAATGATTTACTTCGATTACAGATGCATCTCCCTATGTGAATGTGTGTGTGACTGGTTGCAGCAGGCAATGTGTATAAACAGAAGCTGGTTTTCAAAGTGAGACTAGGCATCATAAATCGTGTGTGTCGACAGCAGGCAGCTTCCTGCTGCTCCTCCCTGTCTGAGGCTGAGCCACAAACCAGTAGCACCACAAACGTCCACCATGTACCTGCAAACAGTGTCGGGCCACAGGCACTGCTTCACCGTGCACAACTGTGACTGGGAGAGCTGTACTGTAATTATAACCACAGCAGGATGGCCAGCATGAATCCAAGGCCTCAATCATTCATCTCCAAGAGGCTGCAGCGCAGTTCTAAAGGGTGGAAAGAGGGCCTGTGACTGGAGGGTTCAATCCCCAGCCAGCACGATAAGTAAGGGTAGAGAAAGAGAGCACCCCTCCCTCATCAGAGCTGCCTTTGAGCAAGGCATGTAACCCCCAACTGCAGCAGTGGAGCTGCTCAGATCACACTCTGGTTGTACTGGGGTAACTCCAGGTGCCTCAAAGAAAGCTTACAATAAAAGAGAGAGTATTTTATAATAGTACAAAATGGGTTGCTTTTTATAATGCAAATAATGATACATTCAGAATGGGTTGAGGCTCTGCCAGAACATACAGCCCTGAAATGTTAATTCCACCATCAGATCACTGTGTGTGGAGGTCACAGGCTCCTGCTGTGTCTTCGCCAACGTGAACTCTTTCAGGGCTTGCTAACAACAGCTGGCTGTGTGTGTGTGTGTGCAGCATACCTCCATTTGGCTGAGGTTTGCTCCCAGTAAAAGTGAACCACAGGTTCTTGTCTCTCACACTCCAATAGACAAAGCAGCTCTCCAAGACTGATTTCTGACCCCAGCCTTACACTCCTGCTGCCTGTCAGTTTATTCAACACATTTTAACGTTTTAACACTCAACTGAATGAAACTGCATACCTGGATTAGTGAGAGGCTGTAACACAGAAGAAATTAACACTTGTAGATATGTGGAGGAGCATATTCATTTACATTTCAACAGACATGACATGACCTTAAAATGCACCATGGTTCTCATATCTTAACCTTATGTCCCTGATCATGAGCTGTGTTGTCAGAAATTCACACCTGGAGGAAGGAATTATGGCAGACACAGATGTTTTAAAGAGGAATTATGTGAATTTGGCAGATTGTTCTGCCCAGTGGAGACAGCTGTGTTTCTGGGTATTTAAACCACAGTGTTAAAACAATGCAAAGGGCTGTGTTAGTGGGGGTGTGCTGTTTCAGGTACTGGAGAGACAATGTAGGAATGCCAGTGTAAGTAACAGATCTATGAGAAATTGTAATGGTAAATGGACCTGTGATGGCAAAGTCCATCGAA